GACATGAAAGTAAAACCTACTCAGAAGAACATGAGAATGAAAAGCCACCCAGTTAACAATAACAAAATTTGACTCAAATCTAATCCTCAATTAGATGTGACTAGTAGTAAAGAAAAAGGAACAAATTAAATAACATAAACAGTGAAAATAAGTAAAAATAATGAACCAACACACCCAAAAAATTAGTCAAAGGTTACTATTACCAAAACAGTAACTACTGTGCAAAACCTATACACATACTGAATCAAAAACAAAGTAATAATCAAACTCTAAATTCAAATTTAAACTAAAGTAACTTAGATGGTAAAAGAATTATAAAAATCTAACTTACCAAATACTGAGCAGAGAAGACATGAAAGACTTAAATTATCTCAGGAGAAAATTAGATCAATCCACATAAGCTCACATAAATATGGGTATACCTACTAGGAGTGATGAATACATGCTGAAAACCACAGATCTCCTGGGAAAAAAAACAATATTTAATCCAGAAGATTACATGGAGGCATAGTAACAGGTGGAAGGTGCCATACAAAGAAATTTCCACTCAGTAGTTATATCCTTTCTCATAAAAAGTTGTATTGTGAAAGGAAGAAATTGTCAGTCGAACATAAGACACAAACTCCCCACGAATTAAAGCCTATACTTCCCCAGCAGTAATTGTCTACCCTGAACCCTGGGGACTCGTGTCAGAACCACTGTTGACTGTGATGGGAATTTCATCATCTGCCATATTAAATCTCAAATTCATATGAATAAATTAGAATCCAGAAAACAGAAATATTTCTAAAACAAATGAGTAGAAACAATGGAAATCAAACATAAGAAGGCAAAAGTTGAAGTTGAACTGACAAAAATTTGAGATCAAGCACAATCAAAATTTTGTTACATGTAGAGCAAGTTAAAACACATGGTTACACACTAGAATGCCAATCAAGAAAGTGAGGATTGTCCTAGAATAGTAGAGAGAGCTAGCTAGCTACACCAGTATAGGTGGCACAGTATAATTGTTGTAGAGTAGTCATATGATCAGCACATGCTCTGAAATGGTGCAAAACTGATGGGGTATAAAGACTGATGCATTGTAGAGAAGTTTTTTTCTAGCAACAATTAGAGGGCAGACCAGGACTGAGATAACTTTGGGTAAGAGGATGTAGTACTGTTTCAGAAAAAGCTTAGTCCAGTGCTGAGAGCAGCATCCCTAGCAGTTGGTCTTTTTTTTTCTAGCCTTATACATATTAGTTTGATAGACAGTGAAATTGTATTTAGGTTTTACTTTCATATCTTAGTTAATTGTGTATTATTTGTTTTTTGAAATTGATACTTGAAAGGTTTAATGATTATCTTTGTTTTTCTACCTGTTGCTTTGCTAGTCATGGATTATAAAAAGAGCCATGGGCAAACATTATGCTGTATGCTGAAGCAGACTCTCTGCTGATCATAATGTTGTATCACCTGCGGGGACCAGTTGAAGTGTGTCGACATAAATAATAAAAGATAAAGAATTGGAAAGGAAAATAAAACATTCAAATTAAAAAATCTGTGAAAATGTAAAGACTTGAAATTATGCACATAAACTAAAGAAGATATTTTAAGACTATTCACCAAAGAGATAAAGAGTAATTACATAATTCCATTTTTAATATTAAACATTTCATTGCACTCTACATTGTGATAATAACTATAGTTAGTGATGTTGTAGAAAAAAATTCAAGTAAAATATAAACATTTACCTTAAAACACTTTTGATATTAATTTAGGAGGTTCTAAAGATTTTGCAAGTGAAATGTGAAAAATGTAAAGATAAAAAATAGTATTTTTATACTTAACATGAAATAACCTTGCAGGTGAGCTATGCAGAGACCGAGTGCATATAATGACATTAAATAACAAATTTTTAGTAGAAATAGCAGAAAACATCAAAATTGAATATTTTATTTTTTTAAAACTACATACTTTTAGGAAGGTTCTTATCAAATTTCAAAGAATTTTATCCACTAGTTTCCTTTCTGTAAAGACTTTGCTTGATAGTTACATAACTTATGGCATTTGACATAGGTTGTACTGAAAGGGTTAAGAAACAACAACAAAAAAAGCCTGACTGTTCCTGTACCCTTAATCAAGACATCTAAAATTCTTCCCTACTTTTTCACCATGTCTGACTGGTTGACAATAGTGCCATAGCAACATACTTCAAGAAAAAGAAAGCACAAATATAGCAATGTATGCCTACACATTCACAGCTTATCAATAAATAAATAAGAAATTGACATTGGAAAGAATAACATTTTATTAAATACACAAACACAAAACAAAGATATAAGATTACCAATAGTATTTAGTAGATCTGCTTATTGAATATTTAAAGCAGAAACATGGTTATATGTTGTATGTACAAAATTTCAAATATGGGCCAATGTGATTGCACCTCAACCTCAACGAAGAACTCTGATAAGGTGTCACCAGAAGCTGTATGTTTGGTAGGCTTATACAGGGAACAATCAAGGAAGGACCATATATAATTGATGCTATATATATATATATCTGGTAACTAACCTTGCCACAGGAGAGTGGTAACACCCTGACCTTCACACAACCATTTTGTGAGTCAGACTGAATATGCAAGAGACCCATCTTGCAAGAAAACAGTGCCTTATCTTGTAAGTTGTTCAATGGCATAAATATTTAAAAGAACAGGTTACAAAATCACCAATAAATTTTATAAATAACTCATTTTTGATTTTCTATTTATTTTGCCTATGCAGTTAACAATATTTCTTTTTACAAAAATGTAGAACGCCTTGTTCAAGAATTGTAATGTATTGAAAATAATTAACCATCCTTTTGCAAACCACCAGCTTCCCAAATGGCACACCAATCATAATGCAAGTACTGCTGTTTTACTATGACTGATTTGCAGATAGTTCAATGAAAATTCCAATAAGGATAGTCACAAAACTTGGGTACATCACTGTCCAAGAGTTATGCAAATTTGGACTTGGTGGAAAAAATTAAGTGAGCCCCAAAAGACAGAAAGATATGATAGCCTATGTTATGCCCACTGCTGGAAAGTTTGGAATGGCTTCTGTCTAGCTACTCTGTCAGTGTAGTTTATGCTAAGAAGACAATTTTTGCTAGTCCTGGGCCACAGTTGCACCTGTCTGCAACAGTAGCAGCTACTTGACACACATCATTCTCCAATTTCTCACAGCTTCAAGAGTCCATATTGTTGGATTTGAACAACTTAGCTGTGCAGAAAGTTTCTGATGTGACTGGAAGTGCACTGTCACCCTATTCACTGTAACAACAGTGTTGCAAGTGACCTGGAAATTTCTCACTCATTTTGATCATCCTCCCATTGGTCAACTATGCAACTTTGTGAAAATATGGTTAAAACCTAGGATCTTTTTATTTGTGACATACTCTCTGTATTCTGCATCCTTTAATGAGCTATAGCTGTACTTATAAATACATTAGGTTATTTGTATGTGATATCATGGAGATGGTCATTTTACAGAGTATACTCAAGGTGTCTATTTCTTAAAAATATCATCTAAATTTTGTTTTTATGTTTATATTAATAATTCTTCAAATACAAAAATACTGTTTAATATCTAATGTTTTTTAAAAAGGTTGGCAAACAAGTCAAAAATTTAATCACTGACACTGCTGGAATTTCAAGTTACAAAGAAAATACATAAAAAAAGCATTTATTAACACCTTTCGTGGAACCTATAAAAAAATCAAAATGTCTGGTTTGATTGTTTCAGATGTTTAGTGTACATTCAGTTGACATTTTAAAATACTGATGTAGATTTTTTGGAGTTTATTAAATATTTAAGACTACAAAAACAAATACAAAATATATTACCACCAACATATTATAAATATATATGGATAATGGTGTGATGCCAAGAAATAAAAACTGCAAACGTTTCAAGTCCTTGGCAATTACCCCAAGACAGTCTCGAAGTAACTTTATGATTCTGCAACATCAGCCTGAGTTTTTCCATTGTGTACTACTGCTATTTGACATCACAAAACACAATGAGTAATGACAATACATGAGCTCTGTTGTCCTTCTTCCAACATTGGATTGTGTGCTTCAAGGACTACCACAACAAATCAAAATTCTAGTCACTGAAGCCAGATTAAAGTTATATAAAGGTTTTTCTTTTCCATTTTGCATAAATTTATACTAAATTATTTTCCTGCTTCTAGACTGTTATACCAAAGAACTGCTGATTACTACAGATTATCATTTTATTTTTTACAGACAACTAGTACAGTGCAGACACAAATACAAGATTTTTAGAAAAGGAGGGGTTCTGGCTGGAAAGGAGAGTAGGTGTGTCATTCTAGGTCAGTTAGTCTCAAATCCGTCTATTGACTGTATAAAAAAAAAAATTGATACAAAATGATGAAACCCTATAACCTGATCACTTTCAAAAGGTGGTCCTTCCTTCTTCAGGCCCCTGAAGAAGAAAGGTCTACCTTTCGAAAGTGATCAGGTTATAGGGTTTCATCATTTTGTATCAAGATTTATTGACCCTGTGTTTTTCTGACATCATGAACAACAAAAAAAAAATCTTTATGGTATATCATTTCGATGTTTTATTTTATTTTCAGTTGCACAGTTTGCAATGATTATGCAATAAAGCACATTCACTTCATAAACCCTTAGCATCTATGACCTTGACCAAAGGCTGCCCTACATTTGGTTTTGCTAAAAAATATTGAGGCTCCCAATTTTGTTTAAATGGTTATCGTCATCTATCAAAATCTGCCATGCCCTTATAGATACTGAATCTTGAACTTTCTTTTACTAGTATTATATTTTTTTTCTGAATTTATATTATTTTTAGTTTTTACATATTTGTAATGTTCATCTTTGTCTAAAGATTAGCCTTATACATGCAATTTGAATACATTTATTTTCCCTAAGCCAAAGAGATATGTATGTAACACAATTTAATTTCTTGATACATGACAAAACTTACCATTAACTTCATAAGTTCTTGTTGGAGCCTGAAAATAAAAGATGAGTATAATTTAAATACAAAAGACATTACAGCAGAAGCAAAACTTCTACTAATTACACTTTTGTGAGTTACTCAACTTGCCAATTTAATACACATACATAATCACTATCTCTATGGCTGGGAAGGATAACAATTTTGAACTAAAAATTGTTCTAATCAACAGAACAGTTTTAAAAACATAAAAGACAAAATTAGTCACACAACTTAATAAATGAACAGTTTATTTCATTGTGTGTAACTAGCAAAACAACTACCCTATAACCAATACTTCAGTCTGAAACTGGAAGCATAAGCATATAACAGTTAACAGGTCCATTGTGTAGGTAAAAAAAAAGCTAAAATTTTAAAACTTAATATATTTTAAGTATTAAAATTAAAACCTTAAATTTATAGTATTTTTTTCCAATTGCATGCACTTATACAAAACCATTTAAAATTGTCTTGAAATTATGAATTAACAAAGTGACGTAGACCATTTTAACCCTTTGATTATTCTGGTCCCCAAAGAGTGGAGCTTAGTGATTAACCCTATCATCTATGAGCATCTATAACATCCAATATTCTCATCTGTATATATATACATACTACATGACATGACCCATGACCCTTTGGGTCACCTACTATTCAGAGGTTATAAAGAATACAAACTAATTTCAATATTGCACCGAAATGAAGGTTTATTTTGAGATAATTTAATTAAATATTTCAATCCATTCGTTTATTCATAATTCAAAAAAAAGATATTTGATTGTTGATCAGGAGTAAAAAGAAAGACCATTTCATTTTTCAAAAAGTGAAGTAAGAAGTTTCGTAAAGAGCACGAACGGTAGTGCGAATGATTTTTTGACTGAGAAAATAAACAAACAAACAATCTCAAAGTCTTAGTAGTATATAGATAGATTCTTTAAGATCTTGTTTTTGTCATCTTAC